GTATATTTATTTTGGGTTAAAATATTGCTATATTTTTTTTAATTTGGTTAAACTCAAAGAGGTTTGATTTAGGACAAACCTAAAGTGACTTATAATATAAAATGAAAGGGGAATATTTGTTTTATTTTAGCATCGTCTTCAAAAGGTTTTATTTTAGAAACAGAGGTTTGATTTAGGACAAACCTAAAGTGACTTATAATATAAAATGAATGGGGAACATTTGTTTTACTTTAGCATCATCTTCGAAAGGTTTTATTTTAGAAACAGAGTACAAACGTACGCGCTCACAACGTGCACACAGGTGTCTCGCTGTCGACGGGTATATTGGGACAACTAAAAGAAACTAGCCGTAAATATGAGCACTCGTGTTAAGTGAAACTCTGCTCTGCCTCCGCATGCTCATGTGGAAAAGGGATCCTTTTGGTGGAAGGATGTTTTCAGATTGATTCCAATTTGTAGAGCCATTTCTTTGGTACATGTTGGGCTTGGTGACAACGCTTTTCTGGAAGGATAATTGGTCAGGGAGTTTTTTACATGATGATCGAGCACCCTATTCTCATTTGCTAAAAATAAGGACATCTGTGTCAAAGGTTTTCAATCTCTGAGTCACTTAGAAGAGGTATTTTATACTCCACTCCCCATCCAAGCAATTCAGGAATGGCACCTTCTTTCCAGCACTGTGCAAACCTTAAATTTAAATCATATGGAAGATCAATGGACATACATCTGGAACTCACCTCAATATCAATCGAAAAGAGTTTATGACATGTTTTTTACTCATATTCAACCTGAAATTCCCTTAACTCTCATCTAGAAAAGCAAATGCACACTCAAGTTCAAAGTGTTTCTTTGGTTATTCTTATTGGACAGATTAAACACTAAAGAGTTGCTGTAATGAAAACATTTCAATACCCAAGGTGGAGCTACATGTGTTACATGCAACAACTCAATCACAGAAGACTCTCTTCATCTCTTCTTCGTCTGCCCCTTTGCCCAGCAATGTTGGCATATCCTCGGTATAAATTGGGATCTAAACCTGAATTTCATGAACATGATCATTGCAGCGAATAGGAACTTCCCTCATCCCTTCTTTATGGAAGTTTTGGCAATCTGTTGCTGGCATCTCTGGAGTAGACGAAATGACTTGATCTTCAATGGTATTCAAGCAAACTTTGGCAAATGGAAGGCTGATTTCAAGGATGAGTTTACTCTGCATATGCATAGTGTAAAGGAAACAGAAAAACCTTTGTGGCAATCATGGATTAATAGCATATCTTAATTAGCTTGCCTTTCAGGCAGTCTTTTTCTTCTTTCTTTTTTCCCTCTTGTTGTACCCCTGTACAGTTTCCCCTCGTATATTGGCTCTTTTAATAAAATGTGCAGTACGAGCCTCTCCTGCTGTTTTAACCGTAAAAAAAAAGACTCTCGAATAGATAAGGCGCACTGTCTCCATCTTGATCTTGATCGGCTGACCGTCGTATCAGTGACAGGTTAAAAATCAAACCAGTTAGATGTGATTTTTCATCTCTAACGATATATATCTAAAACCCGTTCCTTAAATGAAGCCCATCATCGATGACCCCTCAACTTAGAGCTAATTCAACTTAGGTGGTAACGGACGAATAGCTTGCACCCGTCACCGTTGACCCCTCATCGGTGATGGGGTTTGGTTGAGGCCCGTCACAGATGTCCTGTGTCGGGCTGCAAATTCAACTCGTCAAAGATGAGGGGTCATCGGTGACGGGTTTGGCCATGAGGACCAATATTCAAGAGGGATTTTTTTGGCCCGTCATAAATGAGTGCCTCTATAACGGGCTGCTGACTGCCGTCATAGATGGGTTGTTCAGGATGCTTTGTTCTGTACTAGTATATCATTTTTTTAACAACGGCAAAGCTTGCCATTTATTGAATAAAGCAGGGAGCAATATTTACATGTAAGGAGTAAAAGTAATATTTACAAAGACCGAATAGGCACTAAGGTAACATCTCTGCTAGGCGTTTGGTTCCCGCCGTAGCCCAGGTTTTTTACTCTTCTTTAATCTTTGCGGTGAGGGGCGCCGTGCTTAGCTCCTTGTTTCGGAAGATTCGGCGATTTTGCTCGTTCCAAATTTCCCAAGAGATTAGGAGAATTAGGGATCTGGTCCCCAGCTTTGGTAACCCTTGGCATGTGGCGAGAGATTCCCACCATTCGTGAACCACGCTCGCCTGTGCCCAATTTGTCGGCGCCATGGGCGCACAGGCTAACCGGTTGACAATGGCATCCCATATTTTCTTGGTGTATCTGCAGTCTGCCAGCAGGTGAATAGCGGTCTCATTAGTGTGTCGGCATAGCGGGCAAACATCGTTGTTCTGCCATCCCCGGGTCGCCAATCTGTCGGACGTCTAGATTCTATTTTGAATGATTAGCCATGCAAAGATTTTGCATTTGCACGGTGCCCATACTTTCCAGATTAAGGTTTCAAAGTTTGTTTTGAGCGATCCGAAGAATTGTGCCTTGTAGGTTGAGGACGTTGTGTATTCTCCATGACACGTGAGCTTCCAAGTGATTTTGTTGTCTTCATCCGGGGAAAGTGTGACCTGTTGGATTGTCGTCCAGAGAGTGACAAGCTGGTTCAGGAGCTCAATTGTCATTCCATCATTGATGGGTAAGGCTTGGTCATCTAGCCACTGGCCGCTTTCGATTGCCTGCGCGAGTGAGCGGTTCTTCCGCCTAGATATCGAGAACACGAGTGGTGCCACATCCTTCGGCCAGCGCCCATCAAGCCATGCGTTGTCCCAGAATTTTATTGTGTCTCCATTACCAATCTTAATTTTCAAAGCAGACGCGAATAGGAGTTTATCGTTCTGGTCACACGGTGTCTCCATCCCCGCCCACGCTTTTTCTGGTGACTTTCACTCATGCCAAAACCAACGGAGTCTTAGAGCCCTTGTGAACTTGTCAAGATTCAGGATTCCCAAACCTCCATTCACCGTCGGTGAGCAGATCTTCTCCCAGTTGACTTTGCATTTGCCTCCAATAATATCACCAGAACCAGCCCACAGGAAACGCTTGCGTTGTTTATCCAGGACTTTGAGGGATCCTTGTTCACCTTGAGAGCCGTTAGCAGGTAAACCGGTTGCGAGGTGAGCACTGATTTGACCAAGGTTGTTCTTCCTGCCAGACCCAGGTTTTTCCCTCTCCAGCCCGCCATGCGCCCTGCTGACTTATCGAAGAGGGGCTGTGGGTGAACCTTGTGCAGCCGCCCTAGCATCAACGGCAGGCCCAGGTATTTTAGTGGGAAAGTTGCACGTGTAACCTACGACTCCTCCAGGATGTTATCGATGTCAAGATCATCACACCTAATCGGTGCCACCAAGGATTTTTGAAAGTTTGTGCGTAGACCAGTAGCATCTCCGAATCTTTGAAGTAGGTTTGTGAAGGCGTTGACATCTCTGCGTGCATGGCGCTCTCCTTCCTGCCCCGGATTTGGGTATGTAGCCCACTAGTATATCATATTTAGTTATGGCTCGGTATATTTTTAATCTTTGTACCCCCATTGAAAAATTTCTACTGCTGCCACTATTCAAAAGCGTGGGTGTGCGTACATTTGTGACCGCTTGTGTTCACTACAAGAAATCTTATGATAGATGACGCTTCATTTACATCAAAAAACATAAAATTTCGTCACGTTTTGTAATATGTGACGCTCGCGTGACGAAAATTCATCCGTCACCTATCATGCGTCTCTAATAGCTCCGATGTCACGAGAAATTCATCACAGAAGGTCATATTTCTTGTAGTGTTGTATCGTGTTTAGAAAAACAACTTAGGTGGTGTTTGGATCCAGGGACTAAATTTTAGTCCCTATCACATCGGATGTTTGGATACTAATTAGAAGTATTAAATGTAGACTAATAATATAATTAATTGCATAAATGAGAGCTAATTCGCGAGACAAATTTTTTAAGCCTAATTAATCCATAATTAGCACATGTTTACTGTAACATCACATAGGCTAATCATAGATTAATTAGACTCAATAGATTCATCTTGCGAATTAGTTTAGGGTTATGGAATGGGTTTTATCATTAGTCTACGTTTAATACTTCTAATTATTATCAAAACAACCGATACGACAATGACTAAAATTTAGTCTATAGATCCAAACAGGGTCTTACTCTTATGACCTCGGAAGGCAGCTAGCACCTCAGGAATCTTGGTTGCTTGCCGTTTGCCGACGCCTTCATAAGAGAACTCGATCACGATTATAACTCCATCTTACTTCTTAATATGTCCAATTATCCATGCAATCAAGCATCTAGAGTGCTATTTAAGAATTATCTTCTCCATGTTCTTAAATCAAAAGGCTCAATTAATAAAGGCAAGTTTTTATATTACACATAAATATGGGTGCTTCCTCGAGCGTATATCAATTAATGCTTCAAGATTAGCACCCATATTATATGGCTCTCTCATTTTCATAATTTAAGTCATTAGTTTTATTCTAATAAAACTAATATAGGTTTGATCGAGTTTATAAAAAAAATACACCAATATAAAACGCCAAAATATTTCCACAAACACACCATGCATGATATATGTTTTAATAGTGTATTTATTTAATTTATTAATTTAGATGTTGTATTCATCAACCATCTCGGTCATCGTTAAATGAGTTTGACTTAGAATAAGACTAGCTAAAATGACTTACGAGATGAAAAAAGAGATAAAAATTGTTAACTCTTTACTATCTTCATCCCAAAATATAAGAATTTAAAATCGGATAAAATATTTTCTAATATTATGAATCTGAATAGGTAGCTTGTCTAGATTTGTAGTATCCCATCTAGTTAGATACTTATATTCTGAAATGGAGAGAGTAATTAGTAAGTAGAGTAATAATAAGCATCTGCCTTGGAGATATGATCAACAACAACTCTCCATTATTTTGTAAAGTTATTCCCTACGTACCACATGCACGCCATATATATAATGCCTTTAATGCCCCCCCCCCCCCTATATATAGTCGAACAGGGAGCTAGCTAGACTTGGCACAGCACATCATCATCAGTAGCACAGCACAAATACAGGAGCGGCCCGGCTATGGCAATGGCTTGTGCAGCACTAGTGCCGTTGCTACTGTTGCTTCTTGTTGTGCTCTCTGGCTCTACATCTCTCGCTGACCACAGTGCAGGTGTAGATGAGGTCAACTACATCGTGGTGCTAACCAGCAGCTGGCTCAAGCCAAATTCCGTCTGCTCCAGCCTGAGTACCGTCTTAATTTTTCTCTCTCTTCTTCCTACTCTCTCCGTAATTTTTTCATATATAAGTTTATCCAAATTTATAGAAAATTAGCAATACTTCTAACACAAAACAAATATATTATCAAAATATATTCAATGTTACATTTAATTGAAAACTAATTTGGGACCGTAGATGTTGCTACGTCCTTTTACAAATTTAATCAAACAAAAAAACTTTGACTAGAAAAAAAATAAAAACGACTTTATATATGAAACAGAGGTAGTAGTACCTAAGATTAAAACTTGAACGTTTTTAATAAGTAGTTAAGTCAGAGCAATTATACTATTTCCTCCTATTATAAATATAAATCATTTATCTTCTCGACTCTTTACTAGACTTTGCCGTCGTTGGGCAACTTTTAACTATATATTCTTCCTTGTTTACCTTGGTAAATAACCTCTCTAACAAATGAAACGAATTATTTTGGCATTTAATAATAATTATTATTAATATATCATATTAATAAATATAATTGTTGTACGTGGATGTTAGTGAGCCCACACCCCAACGTGACCAACTGGGTCCCGTTGAGCCGACCGTACGGGCCGTGCAGCTCCTCGCCGGCGAAGGGTAGGGCGGCGCCGTCCACCGTCGACGGCATGCTCTGGTCGGACCAGCACCGCGCCGACTACATACAGTGGAGGCTCTCCGGCTCGGTCGCCGGCGTGCTGCAGCCGGCCGACGACGTGCCGGTGTCAACTAACTACGAACAGCAGTCCATAGAAGGAGATCTTAACTATGGCACGTACTACCCTGCACCTGCACCAATGTCATCAAAGGTAAAATTATTTAACCCACACATATGCAAAAAGAAGTAAAATAATTATATAACAATAATAATAATTAACCTATTACTAGTAATTAATTAGAAAGCTAAGTTTATATAATTAAAAAAGGTTAATAATTACCCACAATATATAATATTAATAAAATTGGCTAGAACTTCTTATGCATTATTGATTGATCTGATGAAAAGAATAATAGATCTAGAACTTATTACATTATTGACGTACATGCTGCTTATCAAATTCAAATTCAACTTCTACGTATAGTAACGAAAAAAATAAATTTAACCTTTTTTTTTTACAATTTTCCTTTTTCTTCCTGGAAGTATCTTCTTAAGGGAGGAAGAGATTTCCTGTTGTTGTTGTTTAGATTAAATGAGAGATCAAGATGTAGTAAAGAACTGGATTCTGATGTTATAATTTATTTTTTCTTTTATATATTAATAAAATCTTAACGGTGGTGGCTTTCCCTGCTGTGGTTCTTAAAAAAACTTCTTTTTTAAGATGTAGAAGTTCAATTTGATCTTACATATTATTTGTGCAGTGATATATTACATGTTAATACATCTTGTCAAATTACTTTTTCATAACCATTTAAGTGATATGCAAATTAACAACGTGACCGGACATCTCCTCGAGGGATCGAAATATATTAAAACGTACTCACATGCTAGCTGTCCGATCTCAGGCGATGAATCCGGCCGCCACCGGCGGCGGCGGCGGCGGGCCGGGAGTGACCCAGACGATGGTGCTGGACACGGCGAGCGACGTGACATGGGTGCAGTGCTCGCCGTGCCCCACGCCGCCGTGCTACCCGCAAAAGGACGTCCTCTACGACCCCACCAAGTCGTCGTCGTCCGGCGTCTTCTCCTGCAACTCGCCGACGTGCACCCAGCTCGGCCCCTACGCCAATGGCTGCACCAACAATAACCAGTGCCAGTACCGCGTCCGGTACCCCGACGGCACGTCGACGGCGGGCACCTACATCTCCGACCTGCTGACCATCACCCCCGCCACCGCAGTCAGGAGCTTCCAGTTCGGCTGCAGCCACGGCGTGCAGGGCAGCTTCAGCTTCGGCAGCAGCGCCGCCGGGATCATGGCACTCGGCGGCGGGCCGGAGTCACTGGTGTCGCAGACGGCGGCGACCTACGGCCGCGTCTTCTCCCACTGCTTCCCGCCGCCGACGCGCCGGGGATTCTTCACCCTCGGCGTGCCGAGGGTGGCCGCCTGGAGGTACGTGCTGACGCCGATGCTCAAGAACCCGGCCATCCCGCCCACGTTCTACATGGTGCGCCTCGAGGCCATCGCCGTCGCCGGGCAGCGGATCGCCGTGCCGCCCACCGTGTTCGCCGCCGGCGCCGCGCTCGACTCCCGCACCGCCATCACCAGGCTGCCGCCGACGGCGTACCAGGCGCTGAGGCAGGCGTTCAGGGACCGGATGGCGATGTACCAGCCGGCGCCGCCCAAGGGCCCGCTCGACACCTGCTACGACATGGCCGGCGTCCGCAGCTTCGCGCTGCCGAGGATCACGCTTGTGTTCGACAAGAACGCCGCCGTCGAGCTCGATCCGTCGGGCGTCCTCTTCCAGGGCTGCCTCGCCTTCACCGCCGGCCCCAACGACCAGGTCCCCGGGATCATCGGCAACATCCAGCTTCAGACGCTCGAGGTGCTCTACAACATCCCCGCCGCCCTCGTCGGATTCCGCCATGCCGCCTGCTGAGTCCGGCCGCCGCCCCCGACGTCTCGATCGGGACTCTACTACTACAGGCCGGAGCTGCTCTTGCTCCGGTGATACCTTTTAATTTTCATAAAGCTCGAGCGCTCGCGTCTTTAATTTGATTCCTCCTATTTATTTTTGCGTATGCGTACACGTGCTACAAGATCAGCTGGCTGGCGTCATGTATGAGCCAGATTAGCGGTTGCTTTGATATGTACTCTTCCATCCATGTGGGTATATATATATATATATATATATATATATATATATATATATATATATGCACGAAGAAATAAAACTTAATTTGTTTGCCTATTAACTGTACTGTACAACCCTTTTCGAATTCGTCATCTCATCTTTAAAAAACCTCTTCTAATTTGCTGCTGTCAACCAGCCATACACGCATGGGTTGTCATTCACAGGGGTGCAGGGCGACCGATATGATATTTTGGTCCAATGCATGTATCTGAATTCTTCTAGATATGAAGCACTTCGTTACAGATATGGATATGGATTAATACCCTAGCTAGTATGTCACAATTTATGTGTTGCATTCTTCTGCATGTGTGGCATTCCGTTTCAGAGATGAATGGGCTTATCTGAAGAATCATGCTTGTAACTTTTTTTTTAACGAGTTCTATTGATAAAACAGAAAAAAATTACAAGATTATGACACTGGAGGGTTGTAGCCAGGAAAAAGAAAAAATTATACCACCACCCACACACCGACATCGCCAACACACAAGCCCAGCAGAAGGCTAGCACCGGACCGGCCGCCGCTAAGCGGGATCGACCGCCACTAGACTAACAAAGGGACCCACGGCTAGCGCACCGATGCTCCACCACCATACTAGCTCTGCCGACATATAGGACCCCTGCACCGGCACCCCCCGCCGGCCAGCCTTCGTGCGCCGAAGACCACTCCATACACACCAGCAGCTCCTCCTCACACCTAGGTCGCCTCCTCCACCGCCGGCCGTGCTTCTCTGCGCCAAGCCGGCCTCCTCCACCGGACGCGCCTCTCGCGCCAAGCCGGCCTCCATCTCCGCTGCCCGTGCCTCTCGCGCCGAGCCGACCTCCGCTGCCATCGACTGCGCTTCTCTGCGCCAAGCCGGTCTTTGACCTCTCCACCAAATGATGTCGCGCTAGCCAGATGCAGCCATCTCCCACGCCCTCGGCAAGCCGTCTGAGGCCACCATGCCTCTGATGACCGCAGACACGGTCACCACCACCGCAGCCGCTGCTGCCGAACGCTCAGCCACCTCGCCGTCGCCATCCTCACCTCGCACCCGACTACTTCCCCGCTGCCGACGTCACCACCGCCTCCACAGTCACGGCCGCCGTCGCCGCTGCCACCGACACGAGCCACCGCCACCGCAAACCGCCGCTGCGCCGTCGCCCTCCACCACCAAGCAGCGAGCAACCGCCGCCGCCAACTGCCACGACCACACCGCCGCCGCTGTCGCCAACAGACGTCGCCAGCCGACCACCACTCGGCCACACCCAAATCCGGCCGAGAGCTGCCGTGGACGTTGCCGATACTGCGTCCGCCGTCGGCGGCCACCGCCGCCGACAGCACCACCTCCAGGAGCTCCTGCCGGCGGCTGACGCCGCCGCCGCCGCCGCGACGGGCGCTCCTGCCCCGAGCTCGCCTTGCTACCGCCACCACGTCGTCGCGAGCTCTGCTGCCCCCGCCACGAGCTCGCCCGATCCGGCAGCCGGGTGGCCAGATCCGCCGCTGGGGGGCCGGACCCGCCTCCAGTGCGCCTGGATCCGGCGCCTCTGCCGACGTCGCCACCGTCGCCATCCCCGCCGGCGTCGACCCAGCCTCTGCCATCCCCGCCGCCGTCGACCCAGCCGCTCCTCTACCGTCGCCGTCGCCATCCCCGCCGCCGTCTCCGTCTCCGTCTCCGCCGCCAGCCGCCAGCTGCCACACCGCCAGATCCGGCCGAGGCGGCGCGGATTTAGCGGTCACCGTCGCCGCCGTCCTGGGCTGCTCCCCTTGCCGCCCGAAACGAGGCGAGCTCGACGAGGAACGAGGAGCCCCGCCGCCGCCGTCCTTGTGGCCGCGCGGCTTTGCCGGCGGCCGCTCAGGCGGCGGCGAGGCGGAGGAGGAAGATGGGGGGAGGGGGCGGCCGGGGTTCGATGCCTCCCGTGCTGCCCCTAGGGGAGGGCGATGCGAGAGCGTTTTACAAACCACTATGCTAGTAACTTGCAGTGCTAGTAACTGGTGGATCGCTTGCATGAAGTAAATATTTTGCCCTCAAGCTGCCACTCTTATATATTTAAGTGAAATCCCAATCTGCTAAGCTGCCACTCTTATATATTTAAGTGAAATCCCAATCTGCTAAGCTGCCACTCTTATATATTTAAGTGAAATCCCACCCTTGTATACTCTTATATAGCAAAACAAGCATAGTGGCCCGCGCAGATTGCGCGGCTAGCATCATTATATTTTCTCTCATATAATAGTATATATGTTTTCTCATTATATTATTCAAATATATTAAAATGACAACATAATTTTAAATTTTGCAATAACTTTACAAAACTACTAATGTGTAATATTTATATTATATTTTATATACGTGTTAGTTATTAATTATTTTTAATATCAAATTTTAGTTATTTGTAAATTATATATATTCCTATATGGACTCTAGACTCGTCTTTTAATATTTCTTTTTTTAATTCCGAATTTTCTGTAAATTGTATTTTTATATAGAGTCTATGCTCTTCTTCCAATATTATTTATTTTTATTTATGAATTTTTATTATTTCTAATTGTATTTCTATGTGGACTCTAAACTCATCTTTCAATATTCTTTAATTTTTAATTTCGAATTTCAGTTGCTTCTAAATTATATTCCAATATTTGTATTCCTATATTGACCTTAAATTCTTCTTCCAATGTTTTTCTTAATTTTGAATTTTAGTTATTTGTAAATTGTATTTTTATACAGACTCTAAACTCTACTTTTAATTTTATTATGTTTATTCCAAATTTTAGTTAGTTTTAAATTCCTATATGGACTCTATACTCTACTTCTAATATTCCTTATTTTTTTAATTCCGAATTTCTATTTTTTTTCTAAATTGTATTTCTATATATACTCTATACTTTACTTCTAATATTCCTTATTTTTAATTCCGAATTTATATTATTTCCTAATTGTATTTCTATATGTACTCTATACTCTACTTCTAATATTCCTTATTTTTAATTCCGAATTTCAGTTATTTCCTAATTGTATTTCTATATGAACTCTATACTCTACTTCTAATATTTCTTTTTTTTAATTCTGAATTTCAGTTATTTCCTAATTGTATTTCTATATGGACTCTAGTCTCCTCTTCTAATATTCCTTTTTTTCATTCCGAATTTCAGTTATTTCCTAATTGTATTTCTATATAGACAGACTCTAGTCTCCTCTTCTAATATTCCTTTTTTTAATTCTGAATTTCAACTATTTCTAAATTGTATTTCTATATGGACTCTAGTCTCCTCTTCTAATATTCCTTATTTTTTAATTCCGAATTTCAGCTATTTTTAAATTGTATTTCTATATGGACTCTGTCTTTTCTTTTTCTCCGATTAATGTGAGAATTTCTAGACCATGAGAGCGAACTTGGAGGTTCTTTTTTCTATTCCTTTAATTATATATTTAATTCCAAATTTCTTTCTAAATTGTATTTCTATATGGACTCTAGTCTCCTCTTCTAATATTTCTTATTTTTAATTCCGAATTTCAGCTATTTTTAAATTGTATTTCTATATGGACTCTGTATTTTCTTTTTCTCCGATTAATGTGAGAATTTCTAGGCCATGAGAGCGAACGTGGAGGCTCCTTTTTCTATTCCTTAAATTATATATTTAATTCTGAATTTCTATTTTTTCCTAATTGTATTTCTATATGGACTATATAGTCTACTTCTAATATTCCTTATTTTTAATTCCGAATTTCAGTTATTTCCTAATTGTATTTCTATATGGAGTCTATACTCTACTTCTAATATTTCTTATTTTTAATTCCGAATTTCAGGTATTTTCTAATTGTATTTCTATATGGACTCTAGTCTCCTCTTCTAATATTCCTTATTTTTTAATTCCGAATTTCAGCTATTTGTAAATTGTATTTCTATATGGACTCTAGTCCCCTCTTCTAATATTCCTTATTTTTTAATTCCGAATTTCAGCTATTTGTAAATTGTATTTCTATATGGACTCTGCTTTTTCTTTTTCTCTGATTAATGTGAGAATTTCTAGGCCATGAGAGCGAACGTGGAGGCTCCTTTTTCTTTCCTAATTGTATTTCTATATGGACTATATAGTCTACTTCTAATATTCCTTATTTTTAATTCCGAATTTCAGTTATTTCCTAATTGTATTTCTATATGGAGTCTATACTCTACTTCTAATATTTCTTATTTTTAATTCCGAATTTCAGGTATTTTCTAATTGTATTTCTATATGGACTCTAGTCTCCTCTTCTAATATTCCTTATTTTTTAATTCCGAATTTCAGCTATTTGTAAATTGTATTTCTATATGGACTCTAGTCCCCTCTTCTAATATTCCTTATTTTTTAATTCCGAATTTCAGCTATTTGTAAATTGTATTTCTATATGGACTCTGCTTTTTCTTTTTCTCTGATTAATGTGAGAATTTCTAGGCCATGAGAGCGAACGTGGAGGCTCCTTTTTCTATTTCTTTAATAATATAATAGATCGTTTTACTGTAGACTTGCTCGATGGTTGCTAAATGCACTGACAGTGATACAGTACAAACCATACTATATTTTAGATAGAAAGTTAGGGCTAAGCAATGAATGGGTTGTCAGGTTTTGCTGCTGTCAATTTTCTTCAGCAAGCTCTCCCTTAGCCTGTTCAATTTCAATGGCATGCAAGCAGCTTCGTATGTCAGAAACGATGCAAACAAAATGCTCGACGGGGACGGTGGTGGAGGCGGCAGTGCAGGCGTCGGAAGAGGCGAGTGAGACGAAGGCGGCGAGGGCGGACGAGTCATCGAGGGCGGCTAAGGTGGCGAGTGCGAGGAGAGAGGGCAGCTTGGGTTAGTGAGTCTAAAAGATGATTATACCCCTCTGTAAATAATTTTCCCTGGACAATAATACCCTTCTATGATTCAACTACCATTAAGTGAGGTGGTAGTAGAAATAAATATGAACCATTCGATCAAATGAAATTAATGGTTCAGATTATTTTCTACTACCAGTAGAGAGCATATCGGAGTGGGACTCAAAGAGTAGTGGAGTTTCTTTTAAAATTTGGACCTCTCCCGATGAAAGCGACAACGAA